GCTCTTCCTTCCTTCTCAGGAAGCTGGAGGGTCAGTAAGTAACAACAGGAAATCAGCGCTGAGAGGCAGTCGCGGGCCTCGCTGCCGAGGCCTCAGGAGGGACGGTCACTCAGGAGAGCAGGTGCCTCACTGCAGCCCCCCCCCGCCTCCCCTCCCGCAGAGCAGCCCAGGACCTGATCTCAGAGGTCCCCAAACCTCCTCAGGGAGTGGAGTTCAGGGGCATATGGGCACCCTCAGGGCGTCTGTAAGGAATGAGCCGTGGGTGAGGGCAGCAGTGTTGATAAAGCCATAAGTAGCCACTGTGTTCCACGGGAGGGGACTGGAGGTGGGGAAGCCATCTTTCCAAAATTGCATTTTGCCAACTCCATCCTTCTAACATTTTGAACTCTCATTTCGAACTCGAAGATAATACTGGCATGCTACAAAATGAGGGAAATCAGTGCTCGCACAGGTACGGCCTTGTATTAGAAGAATCACACTGGGTAATTACAAAAGTGCATTAAATGCAGAAGGGTACGTATGTACCAGTATATGCAGATCTGCAGTCTTCTATCCGTTGCATAGTTGTCCATTGTATGAACAATAACATGAAATGCACAAATATAACAAATTGTTCTGGGTGATTTACGCGTGTGAACTCACAACAAACCTACGGGGTAGATAGTCGTGTCCATTTTACAGCTGGAGAAACAGGGCCACAGAGATGCTAAATAAACATGCTGAGCTCACGGGGCAGCTAAGAGACAGGCTCAGGACTGGGTCCCCACTGCGGCCTGGAGACACGACCTTGACCATTGCACTAGGTGACCCCTTGACAATTACTAACCAACCTTCTCCACTGTCCTTTTTACAATGGAACCGATGCTGAAATGAACAGCCTATCTTCCCGGTCTTACGCAAGCCCAGCTGTAGCATAAATTCTCCGCCAGAGGTGGAGTTTTACATCACTGACTTTTTTTGTTTAAAATTTTGTGAAACACTCCCAAACTGGGATCCAACAGGTTGTACCAATCTGCGTGTTTGGAAAATGCTACAGTGCTTTCATTCATGGTTTGTAATTCCAAGCTCTGTACTGATCTATGTGTCCTTTCAAGAACTCAGGCGGCTCACCACTGGATTGTGTGTGAGGTCAGAGCAATGAACAGAAATCCATGAAGTTCCACAGAATCATCCGCTTGGAAAGATTTCCACGTTTCGTTTAAGAAAATTGTGGGCAACTCACAGAGACCTTGACTCTCTCTCTCCCCTCTCATATTTGCATGTTGATGGCAACGGCTGACATCAGGGCCTGCTGTGTGCAAGGTATTTGTCCTCAACACTTCACATGTGTTATCTCATCTAATCCTCAGAGCCACATACAAAGCTCTGTAAGTACATTTTACAGGAGAGGAAATATGTATGTTTTCTCAACATCTTCCAGGAAAAACGCAGCCACATTCAGGCTCCAAACGCTGAGGACAGAAACAGCCTCCACCCACCCTACGTCACAGACCTCAAACCCCACATTCCTGAGTAAAAGGTAGTCATTTAAAGTACAACCTTTTTAAAGGGCCAAAACCTGGCCAGGTACTTGGATCAACAGCACCTTTCATGAAAGGCTTGTTTACTTGAAGATCTACAGAAATCTTTAGATGTAACAATACAACCACCTTAAAAAACCACATTAGCAAAGACTTCAGACTTACCCAGCTGAATGTTTCTGATCCACACCGACTGCTTGGTTTCTTTTAAGATTTTCTCGAAGTACACCCCAGCGAAGCCACTGGAAAAGCAGGCCGTGAGGACGGCCATGAGGCCCACGAACTGCGAGCCGGCCGAGAGCGCCTTCGAGTCCAGCTCCTGGGTATCCGAGGGCCACTGGGCGAAGGAACACAGCGCAGTTCAATTCCGGCGCAGCGCCCCGTGCACAGAGCCCCGCCCAGACCCGGAGGCGAAAATGCCACCACGCTAGCCCTGGGGGCTGCGGAGGAGCTTCTGAAAGAACCTTAGAACCGTCTTACTTCACCCCACAGCGGCATTGCTGTGGCGACTACTAGTCTCAGCCTAGCCTGAGAGAGAAAGGGACGGACCGCGGCGGCTCAGAGCGGCCTCTCCAAGCACCGCGGCCGCCGAGACCCGGAGTGTGAACTGTGGAGTAGCTAAGGGAGCCTGGGGCTGCCCTGCCCCCCGACCCTGCCCTGCACCCTGGCCGTCCCCTGCACCCCGGCCCTGACCTGCACCCCTGCCTTCACCTGTACCCCGACCCTGCCCTGCACCCCGGCCCTGCTCACCATCCACCATCTGGGCTGCACCCTGCCCTCAGCGCTCCTGAGACCACTTACTTGCCTATGGTCTTGTTTTGTTTTAATCCTCACCTGAGGATATTTTTCCATTGACTTTAGAGAGTGGGAGGGACAGAGAGACACACACACATTGATGTGAGAGAGACACATCAATTGGTTCCTCCCACACACGCCCTGTCTGGGGCTGGGGATCGAACCTGCAACCCAGGTACATGCCCTTGACCAGAAATCAAACCCAAGACCCTTCCGTGCGTGGGCCGATGCTCTAACCACTGAGCTCCCAGCCAGGGCACTTGCCTTCATCTTTAATGTCTCTGTCAAGCCCATGTTCCACCTGGATTCATTACTTGATATTTTAATTTAAAATATCTCACTTTGTAAACTGAGTATCTACTTTAGCCTATCCTAAGCAGTATCTGTGAAAATAAGGGTGTGATAGCCAGTTGTATTTTCCAACACCCATCCTATATAATAAAAGAGAAACATGCAAATTAACCATCCCTCTGCTACGTTCAAGCCATGCCCACCAGCCAATTGGGAGCGAGTATGCAAATTAACCCAACTAAGATGGCGGTGGCCATGGAGCTGGAGCGAGCAGGAGACTTGGGTCGCCCCCCGCGATGGAGGAAGCCAAGCTTCCCACCCAGAGAGAGGCGAGGAGTTGCTGAGACACCCAGGCTGGCCAGGTACCCCAGTGGGGACCCCTAATCTAAAAGGGGTGTGGCCAGCCTAAAAACGGCCCTCAGCCCCTCACCCAGGCTGGTCAGGCACCCCAGCGGGACCCCCACCCTGATCCAAGACACCCTTCAGGGCAAACCAGGCGGCCCTCACCCATGCACCAGGCCTCTATCCTATATAATAAGAGGGTATTATGCAAATAAACCCTAACAGCAGAAACACTGGGAATGACTGGTCACTATAACACACACTGACCACCAGAAGGCAGACGCTCAATGCAGGAGCTGTCCCCTGGTGGTCAGTGTGTTCCCACAGGGGGAGCTCTGCTCAGCCACAAGCCAGGCTGCCAGCTGCAAGCACAGTGGTGGTGGCGGGAGCCTCTCCCGCCTTCTCAGCAGCGCTAAGGATGTCCAACTGCAGCTTAGGCCTGCTCCCCGCTGGCAAGTGGACATCCCCCAAGGGCTCCCGGGCTGCCAGAGGGATGTCTGATTGCCAGCTTAGGCCCGATCCCCCCAGGGAGCGGGTCTAAGCCAGCAGGTGGACATCCCCCGAGAGGTCCCAGGCTGCAAGAAGGCACAGGCCGGGCTGAGGGACCCCCCGCGTGCACAAATTTTTGTGCACCGAGCCTCTAGTTTAAAATAAATACTGAAAAGATTTATTCAAGGGACACACTACACTCTGGGAAAGTGCTGTGGGGCCTCTGAGTGGCAGGAACACGACAGGGTTGGATTTGTTCTTAGACAGACCACAGCGGTGACTGCATGGAGGCTGAATTTGGGGGGCGGTTAGGACTGAAGGGGGAAACATCCCTTTCACCCCACAACGACAGTACTTTTATAGAGCCAAACGGCCACAGGAGAAACAGAGGCAGGAGCAGGGCAGCGAGGTGCAGACAGGCAGGACACAACCTGGGAGAACGAGCGGCAGAGCGGCGAGTCTTACTGGACGTCCGGGCAGAAGGGAGAGGCCAGGCCCACCCCAGGCTGAGTAAGAGTGACTGGCAAAAACAGAGACAGGAGCGGGGACGGGAGGTCAAGTTCGTTTATCAGGTCAATTGAAGGGCCCAGCCAAGCTGCCCAGCAGGGGTTAGATACACAAATCTGACACCGCGGGCGACAACCAGAGCTGCGGGCTGCGAGCCAGGAGCCTCCAGCACGGTGTGCTAACAAAAGGCTCCACATGGTGGCCTCTCCACAAATAAGGACATAACTAAGGAAATCACAAGCTGACTGGGGACCAGGTCCCCAAGTCAGCCTCCAGCAAGAGGACCTGCAGGAAACCCGTGAGGAGCCGAGAGAGGAGCGAAGAGCGGAAGGAACGGCCTCGGGCACTGGTGGTGGGAGGGAGTCTCCGTCACCTCGAAGCTCCTGGGACCCGCTAGCAATTAGTTTCCCTCCACACAGCAGTGTCCTAGTCCCTAACTGGCTGACCCAATTCTTCGCGTCAGACCACTGGGTTTTCACGTGTTTCTCAGCACCGGGCACAGCCCCAACGTGTCGCCCACAGGAAGCTCTCGGAAGTCTCAGCAGGGAGGATAAGCATCGATTTGCTTCACTGGATGGCAGAGCCGCCTGTCCTTGCGTAGCAGACAAGGCTGTGGGACTGCGACAGTGACAGGAGTGCTTATCTTGAACAGGTACCTGCACAAAAGCCACTCCGGCCATCAGAATCACCAGGGAGAGCCACTGGTACACACCCAGCTTTTTACCCAGCATAGACACGGAGAACAGCGCCGTAGTCAGGATCTTCAACTGATACGTGACCTGGGAGAGGAAACAGCGAGCGTGAGTCATGGCCGAGGGTCCGCCGGTTACAAGGACCCGGGGAAGCACCTTCGGTACCTGGTAGGTGGCTGCGTCGAGATTGGACAGCGCCACGTAGAGCAGGTTGTTCTGAAGAGTGTATATCCCGGATGGAATAGCAAGCTTGATCGTTTCCATAGGCTTGTTAAGGATCTCATCCCGCAGGATTCGATTCAGTGCTCTCAGACTACATTCTAGGGAAAACATGCCGTGGTGAAATCAGGCACCGAGTGATGCTGAGTACTGAGCACCCTCTCTCTAGGCCTCAGTGTTCTCTCTTGTGAGGAAGGATACTGGGCTACGTGTTAAGACACTTTAGGTCTAAACTATACCTTTCATGAGGCCAACTTTTCAAATGTTAAATATCATCAGGAAGCATATTAGGACCAGCAGGATCCGTATATCCTCCTACTCGGAGCCCCGGCCCCAGTGGCTCAGTGGGTGCTGTCCGTGCACACAAAGGTTGCCCCTTCCCTTCACCATCAGGGCACGTGCTGGGTTTCGGGTCCCATCCCAGCAGGGGGCGTGCAGGAGGGAGCCGATAGATGTTTTGCTCTCACATTGATGTTTCTTTCTCTCATTCCCTCTCCCATCCCCTCCCTCTAAATATCAATTAAAAAAAAATCTTAAAAAAAAGGCGGTCTTAATAAAGTGACAAATATTGAAATGTTCTGAATATATTAGGGTATTAGATAATGCAGTAGTGTTCAGATGTGCAGTTACCAACCTATATTTACGTATATATCATATATAAATAATACCAAACAATTAAATAAACTTCAATGACTTACAAACCACCACCTGGATACCTACGGCTGTCTTTGTAGACTAGCAGAACGCAGGCCATTATCTTCAGAATCTCCGCCACCACCACAGCCGTGGAGGACAGGTACCGTGGCCCCTCCTCCTTGAAAGTCCTGGAGTAGCGCATCGTCAGCACCAGGCTGGTCGTCTGGAAGACCAGGATCCCCAAGGAAAGGTATTTGAGGTTGGCAGACATTGTTTTATCCGCATCTGCCTGAAAAACAAAATAAACAGGGCAAAGAAACAAATTAGAAAAGACAGCAACTGATACATTAAAAAAGCCAGTAAGAGCCATCAGGCCTCAAACAAGATGGAGTATGCACGTTCCACCCCCTTCCTTCTGCTCTGGACCGGACACTGAGCCAGGACCTGGAGACGCTGGAAGGTGAAGGAAAGAGGACAGGCTGGCCAGAGACCTCGCAGACCAGCCTCCCAGAGGGGCAAGCATACCTTGTCGCCGGAATCCATGGCAGTCCTGGGGAAGCCCCCAGATCTTATTTCTTATAAAAGTGCAATAAGTGAGTCAGGTCATTTACACTATTGGGATATTCAATTTTCTTCCTATGATGGAAATGAAAACTTCCACGACTCAGTTCCCTCGTAAGCGCTCAGAGAAAAGTGTCAGCCTGCCCAACACCACGCCCAGCTCTAATCTTTACGGATTTCCGGTCCCTAGAACCGTCTGAATTAGACAACTTTCCATTGTTTCTCCTTCCCTTTCTTCCTCCAGGTGTCAGGTGACTGTTTATATATCATAATGTCAACTTCCTGTGAGTTAATTTTTACCTTGGTTTTCCAGTCTGCAGAATCTGCATCACAATTCAGGTAAAATCAATATTCCTTCAGCTATATATCATATTTACATTTTCATTTTTAGATTAAAAAGTGCTCGGTTGTACTCTTTCCGTCCAGCCAACGACTGGGAAGACAAACTGTCGCAGGGACCCTCGCCCACCTGTCTCCCGCCCACCACTTCCCACTGGTTTCCTGCCACGCAGCCCAAGGCAGCAGCTCCCCGTGTCCCGCAAAGAGCAGGCGGGAGTGGAGACGCGGGTGGGCCCGCGAGCACCGGCCCTTCGTAAAGGCTCGGACTGAGGAGACGGGGCAGTAGGACACCTGCCACCCGCATTTCATAGGCACTTCCTGCGGATACACAACCATGAACGAGACACACAGGATCTGTTTCTTCCTGCGGCGCATCCTCCAGCATGAAAGACGCACGTCACTCAAATAATTCCAGAAGGAGGCTGGCCAGGTCACAGGGCAGCAGGACAACAGCACAGGAAACTATGGCACCTCGTGTTCAATTATGCCCACGTGGCTAAACTCAAACACATTCGCCACGCCCTTCAAGTGGTGCCAGGTGAGGACGGGCACGAGGTTGAGGGCAGGCGTGCGGCAGGCCGGGACTCCAGGAGGCTCTCACGCTAAGTGTGTGCAGGTTCGGGGGGCAGCTCTCCGTGACTCTATCCTCTGAGGTCAGCCTGGCGGCATTACCGTGAGCTTCTGGACCCCAGGATCGAGCACGCAGACTTGGGGTCCCCTTGCTCGTTAGCGGGCTGAAGCCTAAGTTAGGCCACCCGTTCACATTGACCTTAAGCTTGCATGGTTATAAACTTCTGCTTTTCTCTAGGTAATCTGTCTTTTATTATAGGGGTCTCAGCTAAGAACTTAGAGGAGCAGAGAGAAAATTACTTTCCTCCTCCTACAGGAGTGAGAGTAACAAAGCTATCTCAAAAACTGACCTCTAGGAGCAAATGAAGGACTAAAACATGGGACGGAAAAGCGCTTTCAAGTAAAGGCTGTTAATGAAAGTCTGAAGCCAGGTTACACCACAACACAGGAGCACCCTTCCTCCGGCAGCACGACGAGCATTTGACTGTCTCATTCTATGGTTTAATGAACAATTACTTATTGAGTCTATCTCTTTAATGCTGTGCTCAAGTATTAAAGTGCTAAAGAAACTTAAAAGATATAATTACTTCTCTTCAAAAGCTTATGTTCTAGCCCGGCCAGCGTGGCTCAGTGGTTGAGCATCGACCTATGAACCAGGAGGTCACAGTTCAACTCCCTGTCAGGGCACAGGCCCGGGTTGGGGGCTCCATCCCTCCTGTGGGGTGTGCAGGAGGCAGCAGATCAATGACTCTCCCTCATCATTGATGTTTCTACCTCTCCCTCTCCCTTCCTCTCTGAAATCAATAAACAACAACAAAGCCGCTTATATTCTCGCAGGGATAAGTCCCTCAAATAACCATAGCACCATGCTAACTTCGCGAGTGTAAGACTCATCAAGCCGGACACACAGAGAAGAAGGTGTTGGACTAGTGGTCGCCTTCGGAAGGGCGGATGAGAAGAACCAACAGTTTCCCCAAGGGCGGCAGGTGCGGAAGGCGGCCTGGGAGGGAGGGAGGGAGGGTGTCGCCGGCCCAGGCAGGGGGGCGCAGGCTCGGAAATGACATGTCAAAGCAACCACCCCAGTCGGGCTAACACTGAGGCTCTGGGAGGGAAAACGATTTAAAAACCAAAAGAGAAAGGGACACATTGATCTGATGGAGCCGTGACAGCTCGCAGCTTTGAGGGCTGCCCTGATGATGTGGGTTTCTTCACTGCGGGGCGAGCAGTGGCCGGAGCAGGCCTGGCCTGCGGCTGCGGGACGCACGTGGAGCGGAGGAAGGGACGGGCAGGGCGCCCCCGCTGCTGTGCGGGTCACAGCACA